AACGGGAAGATGCTGGGTCTTTTCTTTGAAAAGGTTGCTATATAGATATGAGATTTCATAATTCTCTTCAATATGACGAATGCCAACCAATACTGGTAACTGTTCAGAACTTTACAAGCAATGGAAAAAAAAAGTCAGCTTTGTGTTTAGGATGAGGATAACTTACTCTGAATTCAACATCTCAGAACTTGATGGAATGCTGGCAGGGGAAGTCTGAGGTAGAATAATTTAATATATTTCTTTGTTTTCAAATGATTAATTTACATGTAACATCAGCATAAAAAGACACTTCTAGCAAGCACCCTCACAAGCAGATTAGGTACTGCTTTGTGAAAGTGCTGTGGAGGGCCGACCCACACAGAGCTGTCTCAGAGGGAAGAGGGCTTAGTTATTCTCAGGCTTTGAAAAAAGGTGGCCAAAATGGCCAGTAGAGAGAGAGACAGAGACAGCAGCCGGCGAAATACTTCATTAAATCGCCAAGTCCTGAAGCCACCTAGTTCAGCTCCCTCAGCAGCTGTTGAATCAGGCTCTAACCTCAAGGTAAAAAAGCCCTGCTATTCATTTTGTAATCCCTTCAAAGTCATGCAGTCTTAAAAGAGAGGTTCTGAGGTTGATCTGATCTGTTACTCTCCAGATTAAAAAAAAAAAAAAAGTCTTTAGCAGCATGCCACAGGTGTAATAAGAAAAATATCCTGAAAAATGGGAGGAGTCTACGGGCCAGCCCAGTGGCACAGTGGTTAAGTTTGCCCGCTCCGCTTCCTCGGCCCGGAGTTCACAGGTTCGGATCCCAGGTGCGGACCTACATACCCCTTATCAAGCCATGCTGTGGCAGCGTCCCACATATAGAGAAAGATGGGCACAGATGTTAGCCCAGGGCCAATCTTCCTCAGCAAAAAGAGGAGGATTGGCAACAGATGTTAGCTCAGGGCTAATCTTCCTCACCAAAAAAAAGAAAAAAAAAAGTAGAAAGAGTCTACATTTCAATGCCAAAAGCATGAAAGGAGCGGAATGAAAGAAAATCAGGGACAGGCAGCACTTGACAAAACTGCAGACAAAGAGAAAATGGTGTAGGTAGGGGGTGGGGAGAGGTTTCCTTTTCCTTCTCCAACGAACCTCACAAAACTTGAATTTTGTTTGCTTTTTTTTTTCAGAATCATGATTTCAGGTTTGGTTATAAAATAAGCTCCTTGCTTGCCACACTCAGCCAGTATTCTGCTCCCTGCTTAAGCAGATTTCCGAATGTAACTGGTGGTCTTGATATCACCATGAAAAAAATAATAATAATAAAATTGTCCACGTCTCTAGCTTCAACACACATAATCCCACCAAAAGTACAAGTAAGACTCAGGAAACTAAAGAATTCTGTTTTAAATGTGTATATGTACACTAGATAAGAAAATTACTACAGGGAAGAAAAACACTTAAAAGAGAAAATTAAATGTGTCACTAAATTCATTATATTATATAAAAGTTTACAGCTCAAAGAGTAGAAGTCTGATGAGGTAAAATGAGCACTGGCAAGAAAGCACCCCAAAGTGACCCTGCAATTGGAAGGCTGCAAGCTTCTTGGAAAATATCTCTCACTGATGTTAACCTTTGGTTGAGGTGAGAGAAATACTCTGCGGACAAGCAAGAGGAGCCTTTCATCACTACATCTTGTACATATTTCCAAATGGGGAACTACCCAGTGTGGCTATTTGGTCCTCAGTTTCTGATTACTGGTATCCAGACAGAACTCACTAGCTATTTGCTGACCATGGAGAAAGGATGCTTCTTTCCAATATATTGACACTCAAGGCCTATGAACAGAGAGTGTCAGTCTATCTTGGTCGCAAAGCAAACTTCTGCTTTACAAACAGACAAATTGCTCCTCGCAAGATAGTCATATCAAGCTGCCTGATAACTGAGGAGTAGAGAGAAGATAGAAAGGAGAATTAATAAAATGTCTTTTTTTGAAATAACCAATAGACAAAGGCAGGATTTGCCAATCTGAAAGCAGTACTAAAATACTACCTACGATGAAGACCAGAACAAATTACCAAAAGAAAAATTTAAATGTTCTTTTTGCATCTGTATAATTTATCTAAACCCCAACTCTAATTCCTACACAGGCTTCCCTGGGCCTCAACTCCCAAGAATAAATATTTGTCATATTTTTGTGTTGCTTGCTGGGATATAAGGTGCTCTACTTCTGTCAAGCGGGACAGTGGTCAATTAACAAAGTTGTAGTCTTGTTTGATCTCTGAAAGAAGACAGCTCCATAAAATATCATCAGGATTGCACACAAGCCTCATAACTTTTTCCTTCTGTTCAAACCACATGCTAAATTCAGTAAAAAAAAGGAGGGGGGCATCTTCGGCCTCTCTCCTCTTGGCAGAAACAGTGTAGATGTACAGAGTTATTCCAGAAGTTACTAAAGTTAAAAAAAAATCCCTACGCCAACAATTAACTAATGTGTATGAACACACACACAATTGGAAAAGGAGGAATCCAACAGGTTATTGGAAGCCTCTAGAATTTTGAGATTTTTAACTCAAAGTTGGCAGACAATACATGTAATACAGAGAGTATGGAAGTTCTGATTTTGGTTTAAGAATCCCTTGCCTTTCACCAAATTGTGCCTCTACAAAGAGAGGGAAAGAAAAAGAAAGACAGAAAATGTCAACTGGTAGATTGGAATTGATTGCATTCTGATGAAATTGAAAATTTTCAAAAAACTGACTCAAGGATTTTCTGTATCCTAGAAATGAAAATTCTTCGTCAACTCACAAGAGAAGAACACCAGTTTTCCCTTTCACTAGACTCCCATAACCAGTGCAGCAATCACAAACCAGGAAAAACTAAGTAATCTTGTACTTTCTTTGCGTACTGCTAAATTCTCACTAGTTGAGCTCACCAATCTAAGCACATCTTTCTAACAGGAAAGTTTTTCCATTAAGACCTGGGATAAAATCACCTAGCTTACTGCACACCTGATGGAAAGAACTTTTTGTTCTCTATAGCCACTTCCTGAAAATTTCAGGTTATGTCTTTAAAGACACATCTCTTAACAAATATGTGCAATTATTCATTTATTCCCTGTTAACTGAGTTGGGGGGGGGCATGCAGAAGAGGGAAGGTTCCAGTGACTGGGTTTAGCATCATGGTAGGTGAAGAAGCACCTTAGATATTTCCCCTCCTCCTCACAGAAAAGTTCACAGTAGAAGAGGGCTCCACTGACTAGGACAGCCCTAGAAAAAAATTAACCCTACCAAGTAAATCTGTTCTTATAAAATGAAGATGACTTTTTATCGCACGATATACCCACATCACAAAAATTTTTCTAAAAAAAAACCTCCAAATTAACTGGGAAAGACTTTGATGATATAAACGAATCCTTTGAAAATCCTGTAAGCCAAACCTTAAAAACCTAATAGGATGTAAAGCCTGGTAAAAAGCTGTTTCTTCAATGTCCCAGAAAATAATATTTTATGAAGTCCTATCTTCCTCTCTCTTTTCTAACACTATGGTATCAACCTTCCAATAACAAAAGTGTCAGTGAAAGGAGGCAAACCGATGGATTTAAGCTGTCAAACAAAGATGCTAAGGCTAACAAAGAAATTTTGGAAAAGTCACAGATAAAAGAAAATAGCTACAGAGACACAGAACAAGACACAAGTCCATGGGGACATCAGCACCCAGAAGACCTGAGGAGTTAGTTCCCCAGTCAGTATTCCCACCCTCACCGAGATAAACTAATATCTTAGTTTGCTTTCGGGAAAAAATCTTCAACATGGTCTCCAAGAAGCTCAACAACTGTGGTAAGGAAGAATTTTTAATAATCAAGATGAAATTGACCCCCGCTTTTCTCATGGCCTAATTAAAACTCTTGGGCAAGATTATGGCTCACAGGTCCATAACAGTTCTTACTCAATTTGTTAGAGGTAACAGCTCATGTTTTAAAATGTAAGCATGTCCTTAAAATGAAGGAATATATTGAAGAGCCTCATTCCTCCCTCCCAAAAGCAGATTTCTCAGCACAATGGAATAGGAGGAAATCCTTTAAAATTTTTTCCAACACTTTTATAAGACAAACTCAAGTCTGGCTAAATTGTTCACTAAAAGAACATTCTCCACTTTACAGATCTGTTGCAAGCTTGAAGTAGGGGACTGTGGATCTGTTATAATCCACAGAGAAAAAACTTTAGAAGAGAAAACCGACCCACGCAGTTACTTCCAACATAGTCAACCTGTGAGGGCAGATCCTGCCGAGTGTTTACCAAGAAAGTTGTCCTTTGGTTTTCCCCTACCTTTGCCTGCTCCTTTGTGCCTGGTTGGATTCTCTCCGCTGACCTTCAACCCCGGGACAAGTTCTCAGTTGCTGCCAGGAAAGGGGCTTCACCCCTTCTTCACACAGCTGCCCTCAGAACCCAGAGACCACCTTCTTCCCCTAATACGGCACTTCATTTTATCTCTTTGCTGGAAGCGGGCTGAGAGAAGATTGGGCCAGTTTTTTTTGCCTCTAACCTAAGACCGGCCACATGCTGAAGGGCAAACCCTAAGGGACCCTACAAGAAGAAACTGCCCAAATTTCTTGTCCAGGTTCTCAGATTTGGGGGAGGAGAGAAGAAAAAGTAGCGGAGGGCTTAAGAGCTTTATTTCCAAAAGTGGCCTTTGCAATTGGGTTTAAGTTTAGAGCCCTCGGGACATGAGGAAGCGAAGATTTTAGGAGGCTGGGTTTGGGAGGGTTCTCTAGGAATCTGGAAAGAAACGCACCAGCACCCAGGGCTCGCAGCGCCGGAGATTGGGGCGCACAGTGGGGGTTCGGAGCGCGAAGAGCGAAGATCGAATCTTTGGCAGGCCAGGAGTACGGCGAAGGCTCCCGATTTACGGCGGCTCTTCCTATGCAACCCTGTTGAGCTCTCGCAGGGGCAGACTGTTTGCGCGGGGAGGAAAGGATAGATACCCCAGAACACAGACCGACTCTAGGCTGAAAGACGTTTCTAATAAGACAAACTTACCGCATGTCCCCGTAAGGTCCGGAGTAGTTCTCCATCCACGGACCCATCTCGCTTTTGACACAACTGGGACTTGGATAGGGCACTCTGCTCACCACGCCGCCAGGATACCACACATCGGGTGGAGGGAAGTCTCCCTCTTGGCCAGCCAGCCCCTGAGGTGGCCGAGGGTAGCCATAGGGGGCTACAGCCCCTGCCTCGCCTGCGCTGCCGCCCCCGCCCCCGCCACAGGGCCCATAGAGCTCGCCTTCTTCCGCTGTGAAGAGAGTGTGCCAGGAAGAGGAGGAGGTGGCTGAGGGTGAGCCTGAGCCCGGTCCTGCTGCACCCCCGCCGTGCAGGCCCGCCAAGTCCCCATACCGGCATTGCGCCGCCGCGGCCCAGGGGCTGCCATAGTCCAGCGGGTTCTCCAGCTTGATGCGGGCATGAGGATGGGGAGGCGGCGGAGGGGGCGGCGGCCCGGTCAGGGCTAGCGGAAAGTTGTAGTAGTCGCGACTCTGATAAACTGTTGCCTCGTCCGGTGCTCCAGGTTTGTAGAGAGACAGGGTGGATGGCAGATCAAGTGTTCCGGAGCTCCCGGCTTCGCCGCTGCCAGAGCAACCCAGGCTCTCGCCATCCAGCCCTTTGGCGTAACCTGCCCTGAAAGGGGGATATTCAGCAGTCTCTTCGGTGGTGCTCTTGCCTGAGCCGTCATCCAGTAGAGAACCTTTGCATTCGGCCAGCGGGGCACAAGAAGTGGGACGCACAGAGGGTGGACCTCCCAGGAGCGGGGCATACATGCAATCCCCCCGAAGCTGTTCCCCAGGACTCAGATGCTCCAATGCCTCCACACCCAAGCCCATGGACACCGACACTGCCTTACATAATTCTTTGGCACTGTCCGAGATGGTCGAACTGCCCCCTAGGTAACAGTCCTTAGAGGAGGTGGGAGCCCCAGAGGCCTCCCTCGCTCTCCCGCTGCTACTGCCTTCGGATACCGCCTCCTGCTGCTGAAGGAGTTGCATGGTACCGGCCTCGCTCAGTATGTCTTTAAGATCGGCAGAGCAGCTGCTTAAGCCCGGGAAAGTGGGGCCCAGCAGGGACAACGTGGATGGGGCAGCTGAGTCATCCTCGTCCCGAGGTGCTGGTGGCTGCTGCTGCAGCCCCTTGCCGGCGGCCGAGGCGGCTCCGGGCTCTGGGACGCAGCCGCTCTCTGGGTGGCCCTCGGGGGCTGACGGCTGTTGTGAAGGCTGCTGTTCCTCGTCCAGGGCCAGGTAGCCTGTGGGGCCTCTGCTCTGGGCTTGGGAAGAGCCATCCTCACCCTGCTGCTGCTGCTGCTGCTGCTGCTGCTGCTGCTGCCGCCGCCGCCGAGGGCTGATCTCCTGTTGCTGCTGCAGACGGGCGCCGGGAGGTGCTGCGCTCGCGGCTTCAGGATGCCGGGGCCCTGGATTCTGGATCACTTCGCGCACACTTTGGAACAGGTTCTGGAAAGCTCCTCGATAGGTCTTGGACGGCGGCCGGGGGTAGACCCTCCCCAGCCCTAACTGCACCTCCATCCTTGAGCTTGGCTGAATCTTCCACCTAATTCCTTTATCCCGCCTCCCCTTCTTTTGCTGAGAAGAGTTCAACAGGCTGCGATGCGGTAGTCGCTGCAGCTAGCTGCCCACCTGCGGGAAGCTCCTGGGAAGGAAACTTGCAGGAATAACCACGCGAAAGTACTCTGACAGCTTCCAAGTCTCATGCAGAGGAAAACACGCACTGGACACGGTCTGCCCTGCTAGGCTCACAGTCTGTTCCTAAATACTTGGAGAGTAGATTCAAAAGATGCTCAAATCTTGGAGGAAAAAAAAAAAAAAAGGAAAACCCTCCGCCTTCCAAGTTTAGTGTCCACTGAAACAGGTGCAAATAGGAACTGAGTTATTTTCTTTTTGTTTTGTTTTGGTTTTGGTTTGTTTTGCGGTTGTTTGTTGTTGCTGTTATTTTGGCTACTGAAGCCCTGACTGCCTTTTCATCCTTTGATCTCTGTCCTCGCAAACTGGTGGGGGAGGGAGGGTGAGCGTGCAGGGGGAGGTGGAGAGGGAGCGAGGGGAACCTGGGAGCCCGCCCTGCGTGCCGCCTAACTAGCCAGGTCCCAGCTCCAGTGCTGAAGCGGCTTCCCGGTCGCCTGGCTTCCCAGAGCTGTCTTCGCAACGTGCAGCTAGCTCACCAGCTCGTAGCCAAAGGGAGTTACCTCTCTGCAAATTCCGGCTGGCCGCGCTGGGCCGACTGGAGGGGAGGATTATTGGGGGGGGGGCGGGCAAAGAGGAGCGGGCGGAGGCAGCAGGAGAGGAGACTCGGGCGGGGGGGCGGGGGGAGGGTAAGAGGACAAAGGCAGCCGTCAGTCCTACCCAGCACTTTCTTCGCTTCTTCCGAGTCTCTAGCAGCTTTTAAAAACTTCACCGAAGAGGAAAGGGCAGCTCTGGGGCAGCGGCTTCGAAGCCGCCGCGCTGCAAGAGGCGTTGGCTGTCGCCAGAGCCGGGCTGGGGTTGACGCGGTGCCTCCCTTCGGCTCCTGTCCCGCACTGGAACGGCTAGCTCGGTCAGTTTCCCTCCGTCGCTTCCTGTGCCTCCAGGCTTGCTCGGGACCCTCGGGCTCTCCGAGCAGGCTGACTCCCCAGGATCTCAGAGGGGGCGCTGGGAGGTGGAAAGCAAATGCAACAGTTTGCGAGTCGGGTCCCGCCCCCGCCGGGCCGGCCTCCTTGCCTTCCCACCTCCTTTCTCCCTCTCCTCCCCTTTTCCTTTCTCCCCTCCCCTCACCGCGCGCTAACGCCGGGTGGCTTTGGAGAAACAAGTGCTGGCACAGCGTGGGTGAGGGCAGGAGAGACTTGCTCAAGCCCAGGAGGACCCCAGCTCCCTGAATACCTCCTGCTTCTTTGACCAGGTTTTAGGCTCTTCAACACGGAGCTTTATTTTGACGACAGGGCTACCGGAGCTCCCGGAGGCCAGCACTTACCAGATTTGGTTCCGAAGTCCAATCTCAAAACAGACACTGTGCGTGTGTGGGAAGAGAGGGAGTGGGAAGGGGCAATAGGAGTACCAGCTTCTTTGGCAAGGGGCTATGTTCAGGGCCTACCGAGAAGCGCAAAGGGGAGAGTCTCCTACAAAGTAAAGAACAAGCTAGGGCCAAACCAGCCAATACTTGTTGAAACCTTTCTGATTTCTCCATAGGGGTAGATTGAGCCTCGTGGCATGGTACCAGTTGCTTTACCCACCCTCTGCATGGGTACCAGAGTTCACCTCTATCCTCTTCTCTTCCCTTTTTCCTTTCTGGAATTGCGTCTAACCACACACCTCTCACCTATCCAGATGTGCAAAGGCAAAATCACTCAGACAAGCAGGCAAACACACAGACACCGGAAACACTTGTCATGTACACAGGGACCTCAATTTTGTCCCGGATTTTGCAGACATTTGCTTATATACAGGCACTTGCTTTTCCAAATTGCCTTTGCATATTTTAATCTTGCAAACTGCACTATTCAAAGGATAGAACCTACATAGGACTGCTTTTCTTCCTCTTGGTGGACAGCCGGGAGTGGAGGGTGACGTGGGATACTGCAATTGCTCGGTTGTGGAGGAGGTCCTATTGTGCCTGTGTAAAGATGAAGAGGCAGGTGGAAATAGAAGAGTAGAGGAAATGGAAGGGTAGACCTCTAGGGCAGGAGGTTTCTCTTCGTGTCAGCGGGGTCCCTGGGACTCCCTAGCTTTTAAATTCCTTAGAACTCTGGACCTGGGCAGGGTCTATCTGTCCCAGAAGGCTAGTGGAGATTTTCCCCTGGACCTCTTTTACTTTTTACAAGCTTCTACAGAGTCTTATCTTGTTCACAGCCAAGCATCATGGGCATTTACTTACCCTGACCAAAGGAGGTAACTTAATCCTAAAGGCAGGGAAGAGTGGGCTTGATCAGCACTATTTTCCAGATAAGACATTAAAGTAAGGACATAATTTTTTTTTTATGTCCCACATTAGTAGAACCTAAACTAGTCTTCCATCTCATTGCTATTTAAGCTAGACTTATCAATATCAAGGCCACTTGGGAAAGGGCTATAAATGAACCTTCCAGAATGCAAAGGCCTGAGGAGCTTTTCACCAGAGGAGGTAAAAAATTATCCCCTGGGATTTTAATGGAGTCAGCCCTGCCTGGACATATTCCAAATATACCCCCCTTTGTTGGTGAGGAATCTCACAAATCACCCCTTATGGTAAAGAAGCAGCCTTATTCATAGAGACGTCAAATTGTAACAAGGCTAATTCTCAATTCCCTATTGTAGTGGGAAACAGGACTATATAATTGAAATGCACAGATACTTAAAAAACCTTATTTGAGTAGTCATCACAACATCTAGTATCACCAAAGATTTTAACTAGGATTGCTCAAAAGGAATTGAGTCAGCTGGGCTGTCAGGAAAGTACAATGGAAATAACATAGGTCTCAGAGCCAGAACTGTTTGTCTACAGACTGCAATGAATCTCTTCCTCTCCCTCAGCTTCAGTTTCTTGCTCTGTGAAATGGGGAGAGGAGGAGATAGAGGCTGGACCAGATGGTCTTTCTAACACTGACAATTTAGAGTGCTGTGACTGACTTTTTTCTTTTTATTTACACCCAATAGAGTATGGGTATGAAGCGCGGTGCTAATGGTAGTGAAATGACCAATGGACAGTGGGGAGGAGGGTAGTTATAAGCAAAGAAGCCTAAAAAAATAAAGGTAAGAAATAATTGTCCAAAGTTGCCAGTTGAATAAATGGCAGCCCAGCAGACATTCAAACCCAGATCTGAAAGATTCCAAAGTTCATATTGCTTTCACAGTGCCAAAATTGTCTTCACAGTTTTCTCATCAGAAAATTGTGGTCAATAATACCTACCCTCAGAAGGCTGATGTGGTAATTAAAGGAGATCATGTGTATGGAACAACTTCATAAACTGGAAAGCATTCTACAAATCTGAAAGATCACTTTGTTATGTTTTATTTTTAAAGGTGGTGCTATCAACATTTATATTGTCAGAAAAGGCTACCTGCTGTGAACATAATAGGGGCATATACTTTGTTTTGAATTTTGGACTCTGATCTCCCATCTCAAATCTTATTTTCCTCCCATTGCTTTTAAGAAGATCAAGAGACGTATGTGCTTATACCATCTTTCTTCTTCTCTTCCTCCTTTTTTTTCTTCCTCTTCTTTGCAGTTTTTTAGCAATCAAGTAAGTAACCAGTGGTATCCTCTCAGGACATTCGAGTTGTGGCTTTTTGCCATGGGCTCCCTCTGCAATTTCAGGGGGGCTTTGTTAATGAAATTTTCCCTAGCTCCTTGCTCTGGAAAGCCAGCATTAGCTGACCTTTGGAAAATAGTGGACATTCTCCAAGTCCTGTGGGTTTTATTTCCTAAATATCTCACAAATCTGCCCACTTCTCTTCATCTCTGCTACTGCCAACCTAGTTCAAGGTTCTGTCCTTTCTCACTTGGACTACTGTGAATGATCTCCCTCCTTCCACTCTTCTTACTTTCCTAGAGTCAGTTCTGCATTGAGCAGCCAGAGGGATTTTTTTTTTTTAATTAAGACAATTTTTTAGAGCAGTTTAAGGTTCACAACAAAACTAGGGGAAAAGCTCAGAGATTGCCCATAAATTCCTTGCCCTCACACGTGCATAGCCTCATAATCAACATCCCCCACCAGAGTGGTACATTTGTAACAATTGATTAACCTACATTGATACATTATAATCACCCGAAGTCCATAGTTTTGCTTACATTAGGGTTTACTCTTAATGTTGTACATTCTATGGGTTTGCACAAATGTATAATGACATGTATCCATCATTATAGTATCATACAGAGTATTTTCACTGCGCTAAAAATCCTCTGTGCTGTGCATATTTATCTCCCTACCCCCAACCCCTGGCAACCACTGATCTTTTTACTGTCTCCATAGTTTTACCTTTTCCTGAATGTCATATGGTTGGAATCATACAATATGTAGCCTGTCAGATTGGTTTCTTTCTTTTATGCACTTAAGGTTCCTCAATGTCTTGTCGTCACTTGATAGCTCATTTCTTTTTAGTACTGAATAATATTCCATTGTCTGGATGTACTGTAGTTTATTTATTCATTCATCTATTGAAGGACATCTTGATTGCTTCCAAGTTTTGGCAATTATCAATAAAGCTGCTAGGAACATTCATACATACATCTTTGTATGGATATATGCTTTCATTTCTCTTAACTATATATTTAATAATGGAATGGGTGGGTCACAGAGTAGGTGTATATTGACATTTGTAAGAAACTGCCAAACAGACGTTCAAAGTGATTGTACCATTTTACATTCCCACCAGCAGTTCTTCCCCATCCTCACCAACACGTGGTACGGTCAGTCTTTCTAAATTTAGCATTCTGATTCAGTGTGTAGGTATTTCTCATTTAATTTGCATTCCTCCAATGAAAAATGATGTAGAGAACTTTTCATGTGCTTATTTGCCATTTGTGTATTTTCTTTGATGAAGACTCTGCTCAGCTTTTTTGCCTATTTTTTTAATTAGGCTGCTTGTATTTTATTATGGAGTTTTTAGAGTTTTTTACATGTTCTAGGTACAAGTCTATTATCAGAAATATGATTCACCAATATTTTCTCTCAGTTTGTGTTTGTCTTCATTGACTTACCAGTATCTTTTTAAGAGCAGAAAATTTTAATTCTGATGAATTCCACTTTATCAATTTGTTCATTTATGGATTATGTTTTTGGCGTCAGATCTAAGAAATCTTTTTCTAACTCAAGATCACAAACTGTGTTTTTAAAAACCTGTGTGTTTTTTTTCTAGAAGTTGTATAGTTTTCAGTTTTACATTTAGATCTGTTATCCATTTTGAGTTAATTTTTGTATGAATATCTAGTCCTTTTGTATATAAATGTCCTATTGTTTCAGCACCATTTGTT